GCTCACCCATCTCTGCCGTCATCGCCGGACAGGTTCTCGCCTGGGGAAGGTGCCTCGGGAGTTCTGGGTCTGCGCGCAGGGTGACTGCTCCCAGGACGGCCGAGGGCCATGGAGAGACCAGCCCGAGGGACTGAGCAAGCCTTGGAGGAGGCACGAGGGAGCCAGGGGCTTTCTAGCCGCGTGTCTGTGTCTCCGAGCGATGCCGGGAGCCCTCTCTCTTTACTCCCTCCCCCCTCCCTGGGGGAGCAGGAAGAAATCAGTCTGGACGAAGGATGTACTGTCACCTCTCTGTCATCTCTGTTTGTCTGTCTGTCCTTTTCCCCCTTCCTTCTTCTGCCATCCATTCACCTGTCTGTCCGTCCATCCGTCCATCCGTCCATCCGTCCATCCTCTTTTTTTCCTTTGATATTTACTGAGTGTCTGCTCTGGACCAGGCACGCTACTGAGCCCCAGAGACTGAAGGTTGGGGACCCTCCGCAACAGGACCCTGGGGCTTTCGGCCAGCCAAGGCCCCTCCTTCCTGCTCAGTCAGAGGCAGAGCATGGCCCAGGCGGCAGGGGCGGAGCACGGGGGTGCCCAACTGTGCAGCCCATGGGCCGGGATTCACTTTCCTTGAACCCAAGATAACGAAAGATGGAAACCTCTCCAGGGAGGAACTCCTGGAGTTCGGTTTGAGGGCAGAACCCCGCAGAGGGGAGTCAGGCCTCGTTTGTGCTCTCGGCTCCCGAAGGCGATGGGAGAAGGGAGATGGCGGGACCTCCGTGCGGCTTGGCCGGAGATAATCAATCACGTTCGCTCTCGCTCCCTTTGTTCTCCAGCTGCCTCTCAGGTCTGGCCCCGGCAGCCTTGGCCGCTGCTGCAGGGCCTTTGCTGGGTGGCACGTGAACTTATTTCTCCAGGAGCTAGATTCTAGCCAGTGGTTCTCAACCTTCCTAACGCCGCGACCCTTTAATACAGTTCCTCATGTTGTGGTGACCCCCAACCATAAAATTATTTTCGTTGCTACTCCATAACTGTAATTTTGCTACGGTTATGAATCGTCATGTAAATATCTGATATGCAGGATGTATTTTCAGGGGTCTCGACCCACAGGTTGAGAACCGCTGTTGGTGGTGGGCCCGGGCCCGGCTCTACCTGGGCCCTCCCTGCTGCAGTCTCTGCTGTCCCGGGAGCAGGGCCAGGCGAAGGGGAACTGAGGGACAGCAGTGGGCAGAGCCCGCAGGCCCCAGCTGGTCCGGTGGCTTCCACACCTGCCTGATCATCGATTCCACGGGGACTCACACACCTTCCCGACTTGCCCGGGGCTCTGGCTCCGGAGGTCTCGGCCGGCAGGGGCCCTCTCAGCTGGCCTGCCCTGAGAGCACGGCCTGTCTTTGGCTCCCACTGCCGTGGGTCATGGACTAACTGCCTGATCCGTGAGGCAAAAGGGGGAAGCACCCCAGTCAGCAGCCGCCCTGACCCTCCCAGATGTGTGCGGGGCGGCGCTGAAGGTTCAGGAAAGCCCTTGCTGTGAGGAGGGGCCTGGGCAGCTCTTGGCTCTCCCAGTAGCCAGGCAGGGCCTGGGGCTGGAGCCAAGCCAGAGACGTGGTCCTGGTGGCCTGTGACGTGAACCCATCTGGCTTGTGCCCAGAACAGAGAGAGAACAGGGAACTGGGTGCCTGGGCTTCCTGGCACGGCCCCCACCCCTGTCTCTGCTCCCTCTCTACCTTCAAAATGGGCCGCTGCCTCCCCAAGCAGCAGGATCGAGCCTGTGTCCCACCCTGTCCTGTGTCTCATTCTTGCTCCTGGGGCACTCTGAGGGGTAGGAGGAGAGGACTGACCATGACCACCCTCGGTTCTCGTTGGTGTCCCTGCCTGCTGTGTAGCCTTGAGCCGACCCCTAGCATCTCTGAACCACCGTTTCTTCATGTGCCCAGTGAGCCTGACAGAGACCCTCTGGCCAGGGCTTCGGCCCTGAGTGCGGAGGTCCGCTCTGCCCTGCGCCTCCCAACAGGTGCTCCTGGCTTTTGTAGCTTCTCCCCATCCCAGCCGGGAGCCTGAAACCCTCCCAGGCCTCAGAATGCAGACCGTGGGAATGGTGGCCTCCAGCACCTCGCCCCCTGCACCGCCCTCCGCTACTTTAACTGCTGCTGGTTAATCTTACTCTTGTTTGGGGCAGAGCCAGCCTGTACGCGCAGTTTCACCGCGTAGTGTTGCCAACAGGAGCTCAGACGGTGACCTCTGTCCAGGGGAGCTGCCCGCCAGGCAGGCAGTCGAACCAGAAATCCTGTTTCCAGTTAAAAGCTTATTCTCGTTTTCAGGAACCTTAAAATGGCTCATTTAGGCATCAGGGGTAGGGATTAGATCATCTTGTTAAACTAAACACAAGTTTCTTTATTTGTGCACTGGCAGCGTAACCTACAGTGATGTGAGCAGAACTCTGCGCTCAGTCAGTTCACGAGAATGTGCATGTGCGCTATGTACGCAACCACTGCCCGGCCAGGAGAGAGCGCCCCTACCGCCCAGAGCTCCCTGCTGCCCCCTCCTGGATTCCGCAGCAGCTTCTGGCCCAGAGCAGGACCCCTTGGGGGTGACAGAGCCTAGAGGGGCTCTAAGTAGCAGAAGGGCTTCCTGAAGAAGGTGGGCATTGCTCAGTGGGATGGAAGTGAATGGTGCTCTCTTGTTGGCATTCTGAGAACAGCACCCTAGTAAGGGATTAAGTGCAGTAGCGCCCTCTTGTTGGCATTCTGAGAACAGCACCCTGGTAAGGGACTAGGAGAAATAGTGCCTGTTGTGGGCATTCTGAGACCCTCCCCCTCTACCCCCCCTCCCCCAAGTAAGGGATTAGGCACAATAATGCCCTCTTGTGTATATTCTGAGAACAGCACCCTAGTAAAGTGTTAGGCGCAATAGTGCCCTCTAGTGGGCATTCTGAAAATAGAATCCTGGTAAGGCATTAGATGCATTAGAGCCCTCTTGTGGGCATTCTGAGAACAGCACCCTAGTAAGGAATTGATCTAAATAGCTCCCGAGTCCAGCCAGCACTTTTGGGCCTCCACCCTTCCTACAAGTCTCTATGCAGTCTCCAATTTCCGTTTTTGGTTATCAGGTTTCTCTCAAGCTAGTTTTGAGTGGAATATTCAGGATGATTTTTTTGTAATGTAGTTGTAATTCCAGTTTGGTCCTGAGCCCATGTCTGTGTAACATCCACTTACTCTGTGGCCATTTTTAATCTCCCTTCTTTGGACATTCTGATAAGAGATTATGCTCAGTAGCACCATCTTGTGGAAATCTGGGGAACGGCACCTTAGTGAGGAATTAGGCTCAATAGCGTCCTCTTGTGGTCATTCAGAAAACTGCCCCCTAGTTAGGGATTAGGCTCAATAGCGCCCTTTTGTGGGCATTCTGAGAAAAGCACTCTAGTAAGGGATTAGATGCCATAGCTCCCTGTTGTGGGCATTCTGAGAGCAGCACCCTGGTAAGGGATTAGGCGCAGTAGTGCCCTCTTGTGGGCATTTCGAGACCAGCATCCTGGTTAGGGATGTGTTGCAATAGTGCTCTCGTGGACATTCTGAGAACAGCACCCAATAATGAAGGAGTTACAATAATGCCCTCTTGTGGACACTCTTAGTGCAGCACCCTAGATTGAGATTACACCACTCAAGAGATGGGAGGATGTGAATGGGAAATGGAACATTTATTAGGGCTTCTTTATTCTCTCTCCTAAAGGCTGGGTTCTGAGGTTTGTGGCCTCAGGCTTTGTTTCCAAGTGGCATGGAGTGACTGAGTTTCACCCCAGGGAGTGCTGAGGTCAGCCACCCCCACAGCCTCTGGAAGGAGACCTGTGACCACGTAGTTGAGCCTGAGGCCTGAGTGGCCTTTCCCACTGCGGGTCCTCTGGCCACCGGCCATGTAGCCCAGACACCCACCCTCTCCACCTGTGCACCCTGACAGTGTTTCCCCGGGCACTGGGCGTGGCCCCTTCTGGTATCAGGGCCTTCCCACCTCCAAAGTCAGGTCCTCGGAAAGGTCCTTCAGGACACAAGTTCAAACCCACCCAGTACCTTGTGTGGATCTGACATGGCCACCTGGGCCGACCGGCGGGGCTGTCCTCAGATGCCCTAACCTTGACTCTTATCTGTGATTCTCTAGCTCCAAGAAGCCAAAAAAATGCCCCAAAGTAGCTGCGAAGCCCAGACCCTCGCCACGGCTCACCCTCTTTGACGAGGAGGTGGACCCTGATGCAGGGCTCTTCAGCCCAAGCAGGAAGCTCTCCGCCGGGGGCTCCGCAGAGGACGCACCCCCCAGGGACCGTAAGTAGAGCCCCAGCGTGTCCCTGTCACCCTTGGTGCCCCCTGGGTGACCAGACCCGCCTCTGTGAGCGGCTTCGGACCTGCCCCGTGTGAACAGGTTTCGACTTGACACAGACTCGGCTCATTTTCTGCTGGAGAAATCTTGCCTCGTGCCTCGTTTCTCACAACCTGGCACATGCTGGCTTGTGGGTTATTCTGCTCATGCTGGCAGGGAGG